GGCGGCCCCGGCCCCGGCCTGCTCGGCGCGGGCGGCCTGCGCGGGGACCGCGCCGCAGGCCCCGGGCCGCCGCGTTTAGGCCTTCGCCGCTCCTTGACCCGGCGCTGTTTTTATCCTCCCCCTTTTCCAAGGGCCGCGGGCGGGTTTTGTCCCGCGGAAAACCCGGTTTCTCCCGAGCAGCATCGTACCTGGTGCCCGCGTGTGCATGGAGGCATAACGCGCGTTCACATAACATATAGGCAGCTTTACGTTTGTTTTGCCTCCGCTYGGGATTGTGCAATATGGCTGGATCCCCACCTGGGCCCTGGGTCTGTTCCGCTGCGWGAGGGGTGGAAAACTGTGTCCTGGGAGCACCTTAACAGAGAGCTGCGCCTCCTCATGTTCGGATAAATATCCTCTCATCCACAAGAATAACGCTGTATGTTTTCTTGGAATAGATTTCATTAGTAGCCTTACAATTTGGCATGTGTTGCCACCTTTTAACTACAAATTCACGATTCATTTCATATATATATTTACTTTTAAAGTCAGGACACTGACTGAATTCCTCTAACACTCTCCAAAACACAAATTGTTTGAAAATGTGCAACCTTTAAAGGCAGGTCCTGCATAAATGAAGGTGAAACACAAATTCTTTATGTACTTTGGCAGGAATTTTTACTCTTGCATCTTAATAAAGCRTCTGTTTATAGCTCATTCTCCCAGTTATGAACAGTAAATCACACTGCAATGTTTTCTGGTCAAGATTCTCTTTTAGTTTATTTCTTTCTTGCTGGTGAAGTCAATTTTTTTTGAAAAGTAATACATATTTTTTTTCCTTGTATTTTTACTGTCTTTTGGCAGCAGGAAAAGAGGAGGAGATCACATGACTTGCCAGTTTTCTGCGAGCTGTCAGAGAATTTAAATTTTGGYCATGTGGAAAATCTTTTAAACTAGTAAGACAGTATAAAAAATGATAGCTGAAAATCTGGCAAATGTTTACCCTTATTCCCTTAGGACCAYCCTAGGTGGTGAAGCTCGAACTCTTTGAGTGGGTTTAGATAGAGCTAAATGTGGTAGATCGTGTTTGCCAGCACTGTAAGTTGGGTGCTACTGCCCCTCATCACAAAACTGTTGCTTGAATGGGTTATTTACTATTTTCAGACCAGTGCTGTAACCTTAGCCACGGAGCTGGTCTCTTTCAGGCACCAGTAGACCTGATGGTTTTCAAAAGTTTTATTCTTCACGTTATACAAGCACAAGTGAATAGCTACTTAGTCCCAAGTTGTTCTTGGAAAGAAGGACAGTGGGCAAGTGGACTATTTTCCCCAAAGAACTAATACAGTCTTCTTCCATTGGACCCATTAGGGATCCTGAGGGAGAYGTATGTAGCTGCAGACTGGTTGGTTGGTCTGGACTGGCTGGACCTCTTTACAGGGTCTTTCATCGCTTGGCTGAACTGAGCCAAGAAGACAGGAGCGCTGAAGTCTCCAGGAAAGAGACCCTCCTTCCCAGAGGCCCTCTGGGATGTGCTGTTATCTTGATGAACCTCTTGGCAGGCGTTGTAAGATGTGTCAGCCGTGGACCAGGCTCTGGTGTTCTCGGGAAACTTCCAAAAGTCAAAGCAGCGGTGTTGTTTTTCAATTCTCTCTTTTTTTTTYCCCCAGAATGAAAGTGGAGTTCTCTGATTTTTCACTATTCAGCAGGAAAGTTTCCTTTGAGAATCAGGATTCTTGAAGCAGGAAGGTGGTCAAAAGCTATTCTTCATCTTGTCACCTAAAACTGCCTATTGGTGTAGATGATAGCATTTTTACTATGATAGTTGTGCACTCTCAGCTACGCTGTGACAATTACCACCGTGTAGTAGTTGGAAAAGAACTCACTCATTTGGGACTGAATTGTTTTCTGTGATTTTGAGCAGCAAAAGTACATCTAGGTTTGGAAGGACGAATTTCTTGGTGTGTCTGGCCAGTCATCAGCACTTACGCAGTCCTGTTTGTGGTATGGAAGCTGGTCATCTGTGCTGCTGACCATGTAGTGTCAGCTTTGCACGGAGTTTCTGAGGGGGCACACTTCTTGTGTGCATGGCACTGGCAAGAGTGTTTTTAAAGACTAGGGTTAAACTAAGTAGCATTAACAAATATTGTTAAGATGCGCAGAGATTTGAGCTGGTAAAACATCTTAAAAGAGTGCAAATCTCTGGGTGAAGCCCAAGTAATTTCTTGTTATCTGGACCCTTTCTACCATATTTAGGAATATTTTAATGGAAAAGGATGCTAATTGGGGTGATGGGAGTCTGTGTCAATTCTTACTACCAAGTTTGGAACCTGCAGTAGTGTATCTAAGTAARTAACGTAGTATCCGTAGAACTGGTGGTTTTCTGCTTTGATGAGAAATCTGCTTCTGCTGTATTTTACAGCCTTATTCATGAAGTTAATCCCAAGGAATTACCTTTGAGAAATTCAGATTGATGTAGGTGAGATTGTGTTGAAACATGCTTCAAGAACCAAACGACTGTCTTGATAGTGAGTAGCACTGGGTAKGTTGGGTATGTTTGTTGGCAGTGAACTTACTGCTGAAGAGATTCTGAAATGTCATTTAGATGCTATCCCAGGAATAATATCTGCATCCCTGGACTTAGGCAGTGCATGCTTTACAGTGCTTGCCATCAAAACTCAGAATAACAAACTTGGTCCGTTTTATGCAGAGAATTGGAAGATTTTAACTCCATCCTCTAAAGATATTGAATGTATTTCTGAAGTTTTAAGAGGCTTTAATAAATATAGATACTGTTACGAGTAGTCATAAATTCACAAATAATATTAAGAGGAGGTGTTTAGAAAATTATTTTTCATTTTMAAAGACCAATCCACGCTTTTTAACTTGATCCATCATTCAGTCATGTCCAGAACACTAATGGAAGTAATGGTTTTCTCCCTAATGCACGGTAATGGATGAGGGCACTTCTTGCATTCGCTTAGTGCGCTCAGCTTGTGCTCTGTATAGCTGCTGTAATGGTTCAAGGCATCACATGAGCAGTAAGAAAGGAGAGTTTCGGACTTATTCTCTACAGTAACCTAAGCATGAAGCTTAATTACACAGTAGAATTCTCAACATGATGTGAGTTACAATAATTTTCCCCATTTTTCATGAATTGGAGTGATCATGCATCATTTTATGCTTGAATTCTTTTAGGTTTTAAATAATATGCATGAAYTAAATATCATCGGAGATAATAAGGATGTTAAGGTACCACAACATAGAGTTTGATAGGTTAGAAAGTTACAAAGTTTGATAGATAGGTTTTGGCCAAGATTCCAAAGTATAGTTTCTTGTGATAAAATATTTTTTGCTTTTTAAAGTGGTTATATTCAAAGCCAGTGAGTTATGTGAATCTGTGAGCTAGGCCTTTCTCTGTTTAGCCTTGACTTTCAAAAGCAGGGAAAATTGTTGCAGAGGAGGCTTTAGACCCTGGGGAATTATGGAGAATGCTGACTGCAGGTTAAATTACTTGTAGTTGCAAGGCAAGATGCCTTTCAGGTGTTGGTCTTGCTTGTTGTGGGACTGACATTTTCTTCCCAAGTTGACCCGCTGCTTTTCTCAGCACTATTTTAAGGAGAAAGATACTGAGCTAGTGGGGAGATGGAGTAAAGCATCTTTAGGAAAAAAAAGCTATAGCCACCCTCTTTTGCAGCTATTTATGAGGCATCTGAAGAAAAAGAATTTCTCACTATAGGTACCTTTGCATATTCTCAATGGAAACAGGCTGACAGGACACAAATGAATGAAATCCCTCCTGTGTATATAGCCAACAGTTAATTGTCTTGTAGAAGTATCTCTCTCAGCAAGCAAATCACAAGCCTCAAGTTCAGCTGGGCTCTTTGGAGCAAGACAGGGCTCCAGAGGTGAGGGGGTTTTGTGGCCTCTGCTTTCTCGTTAATCCTTTGTCCCCTCGCAGGGAGGAGCTGTCATTTTCAGTGCCTTCCCTGCTCTCTGCTCTGGCAGTGTGCTCTGTATCTTCAGTATTTGGAAGAATCAAAGCAGTTCTCCAACATGCCGAGTCTGTTCAAGTTGCTAAAAATAACATGGTTTATTTGATGTGGGGAGCTTTCTGTTTTGCTGATCTTCGTTCTTCTGAAATGCCTATTTTACGGTGGCTTSATATGTGGGTCTCTGCGAATAGGTGCTGGTATCGTTTGATCGTATTACTTGTCTGTGATCATCCGTGTTTACAGGGTAGCAGTCGTCATTCCTACGTATCCGAAATGTGCTCATCTTCCTGCTCTGTTGTAATATCTCTAGGTGAAAGGTAGTTCTGTAGACTTGGTCCGGTTTGCCATAAAGGTCCAAGTTATTCTGCCCAGCTTGTCTTAGTGGCATTCTCAGCATTTTCTTACCTGATCTTGAGTCCGTTTGTCCTCCTGCAGTACAGCTTACTGAGCTGAGCAGTGCCTGTTCTGGCCAGGCTGTCCATATATATATGTGTGTGTGTGTGTGTATGTAAATATATATATACACACATACTGTGTTTGTATGTGTATATGTGTGTGTGTGTATGTATATATGTATATAMATACACACAGTGTCCTGAGGGATTGAGTTGAGGTTGCTCCCATCAGCTGGAACACTTGCTTTGTCACTGCTCAGTCACTGCTTTGCCTCAGACCAGCTGCCCCTCCTTCTGCAAGGGCTTTTCATCAATACTGTAGGTGGGAATGCAGTTAAGCTGAAGTTAAGTAATGGCTTTAACCTCAGTTAACAATTCGAAAGGAAATTCAGGAAACTATTTGTGTAGGGCACTGCTTGACATCATAAATAAAGACTGTTTATATTGCTGAGCCTATCTGGATTTCAGATTTCTAGCTACACTAGCGGTGCTTTTTTAAAGGTTATTTTCAATCTTGCTTATGTGGAATGTGCTTGGACATACTCATCTATGCAGTTCAGAGCATATGAGTGAAACGCTGAGTGGTTAATATGAGATATATGTATGTGTGTGTGTGTATATAAAACATATTTTTTTCCTTTCCTCCAGAACAGATTAACACATATAGGAGTCTTTTATTCATTATTTTTGACAGACAAAAAACTCAAAATGTAATTACCTTCCTTCCAGTTATACATAAAGAAAAATTTATAATGCATTGTAGTTTTCCAAGCCTACTTAAACTGCTAAGAGAGGAAGCAGTTACCAAAATTGCAAAGTGTTTTAAAATAAAAGTGTTTGTACTTTTTTTCGGGTACCT